TTTACATGCAAAACACGTTTAATAGCTTATTAAATTGTGTAATTTTGTGTTCACCAGGTGGACACACGATTGGGACTGCAGCTTGTGCAGTTTTCAGCTACAGACTATACAATTTCAGTGGTACCAACCAACCTGACCCCGATATAAACCCAGTATTCCTTCCCCAGCTCCGAAGACTTTGCCCAAATGGCGGTAATGGGTCAACACGTGTGGCCCTTGATACTGGCAGCGTTAACCGCTTCGACACTTCCTATTTCGTAAACGTGAGGAATGGACGGGGCGTTCTTGAATCTGATGCGAAGTTAATGAGTAACCCGACAACAAGGACGTTAGTTCAGAGGTTTTCTGGAGCTGTGGGAGGACCTGCATTGAGATTCACCAATGAGTTTGCAATATCCATGGTGAAGTTGGGTAATACCGAGTTAAAAACAGGGAGTCAAGGAGAAATCCGTAGAGTTTGCTCTGCAATTAATTAATCTCAGTAGGATTTCATAGAGATGTGCGTATTCCAAAGCCCAATAGATCATGCTATATAGACTTGTATCTCCGTGTTTTGATTTCATCATCTTGTAGTTTGATAAGAATAAGTTTCTTGTATCCTCGTCTTTCCTAAAAAGGAAAGGTTAATGGACTATATGTTCAATATGTAAAATGATCAAGGATATGTTCCATGTGGATAACGCCATGGAGTACAAGGATCACTAATTTCTTGACTTTCTTCGTTCTCAAGGTATTATCTCGCAATACTCTTGCCAACGGCGGTACCAAATGAAAACATAAGCAATTCTTGATATCATTTGCACTCTTCTAATCTCTACCAAGTTCCCTGAACGTTTTTTGGGGAAGTAGTTTTATCTGTTGTATACATCATTAATCGTCAACCCATAAACTCTTTAATCAAAAATCTCCCGACAAGAGTCTCTATGGTACCCCATGTCTATGATGTATTAAAAGTATGGGGTTGTACCTGTTTTGTTCTCTTTCTACCTCATAAGTTCACCAAATTAAATCTCCACTCTCGTCTATGTTGTTTCCTTTGATATGGTATAGAACACAAAGGATATCGTTGTTGGGATACCGTATCCCGACGTCTTCGCATTTCTAGGCATGTTGTATTTTGGGAATATCGGATGTTTTCTTCTGTTTCAAAAGTTCAAGGTCCTATCCGATCCTTCTCCTCCTTTCTTTCCTGATATATCTATTCCCTTCGTTGACTCAATCTCAACACCAATCTGTTCTCTTCCTATAGACACCATCTCTTAAAATCTTGATCACTCTCCTCCATCAACCTCTTCCGAGTTACCTACTCCTTTCCCCCTGGTGCTATATCAGATCCTCTATCTTCGATGGATCTTCAGATGCTTGTAAGTCTTGATGATCCTACTCCTGCGTCTGCTTCAATTGACGTTCGGGATGCCATACTGTAAGACATATACCTTTCAGCCCTTCGTGATTTTCACTATTATTCTACACCAATTTCTACCCATACTCCCTCTTCATATAAGAAAGCTTCTACTAACCCTCTTTGGTAGCAATATATGTTCGAGGAATTGCAGGATCTCTCTAAAGTCACATTTTGGATCTTGTTCCACTTCCCTTGGCAAGGGAGTTATTGGCTCCAAATGGAAGTACAAGGTCAAAAAAAATTGATGGTTTTGTTGATTGCTACAAAGCTCGCCTGGTTGCCAAAAGTTACAATAAATAGTATGGGATTGACTATGAAGAAACATTTGCTCCAGTAGCCCGTGTCACTTCTGTTAGCAGTCTAGCCATTGTCGTTGTTCACAAGTGGCCACTCTATCAAATGGATGTGAAAATGCTTTTATCAATGGGGTCTTTTGGAAGAAGTTTACATGAAGCCTCCACCGAGAACTCTACATTCTCCCAACCATGTTTGTCATTTATACAAAGCCCTTTATGGGCTCAAGCAAACTCCCTGGGTAAGGTTTGAAAAGTTCAACAATATTATCTATTCTCTAGGATTGTCTGCTATTGACTATGACTTTGGTCTCTTAACCAAAACTACCTCATCTCGCACAATTCTTCTATTATATGTTGGTGACATGATTATTGCATGTAGCAATATTCAAGATATTAATACATTTAATTAAGCATCTCTTCATCAACACTTTGCGATGAAAGATCTGGGACCGCTTCACTACTTTCTAGGGCTTGAGGTTTTACCTAGGGACTCTGGGATCTATCTATGCAAAGCCAAGTAGTCTTCTGATCTTATTTCTCGTATTGGTATCACTGACAACAAGATATCATCTACGTCTCTTGAACTGAACTTTAGACTTACCCCCAATGATGGTAGTCTCCTCTCAGATTCTATACACTACCGTCAGTTGGTAGGTTCTCTATTCTATCCCACTATCATACACCCTGACATAGCATTTGCAGCTTACATTGTCAGCCAATTCATGGCTGCTCATCGAACTTCTCATTATTATGCTGTCTTGTGGATATTATGGCACGTTAAAGGTACCTTATTTCATGGTTTATACTTATCTTCCTCCTCATCCCTCAAGCTTCATGCCTTCTCTAATGTTGGCTTGGATAGTGATGTCATTTATCACCAATCTACAAAGGGTTACTGCTTCTTTATTGGTGACCTACTCGTCTCTTGGTGTAGTAAGAATCAATCTCTCACCTCTCGCTCCAGTACCGAGGCTGAATATCGTGCTCTAGCCAAAACCACTCAAGAATTGTTGTGGTTAAGGTGGCTTCTGTCTGACATGGGTGCACCTCAGTCATCTCCCACGGTTATCCGGTGTGATAACTGTAGTGCGATTCACATTGCTCACCATGATGTGTTCCATGTGTTAGAATTTAATGATAAAATCAGATAAATTAGTTGTTGGGTCAGTATGGATCAGTAAGTTGGGCCGTAGGCCATCAAATTGGGTCAATAGGCTGTCCATTATGACAGCAGTTACAAGTTGGTTTTATGTGTCGGTTCCAAGAGTTGTGTCTATTCTTGGCACCTATTCATTTTGTATATAAGGTTGTCTTGTATCGTCTGGTAGTAACGAACAATTTGACAGAATATTTTTAGTTTGCATAAGTTGTTGTGTGTTGTGTTTCTGTTTCAATGGAGATGAAGATTACTTCATCTCCAACACCATGAGCACACCAAGCACATTGAGATCGATTGTCATTTCATCTGTCAACATGTAGTTCGCAACATTGTTCGAATCATTCTGGTCTCTTCCACCGAACTAACTACAAACATCTTCACTAAGGCTCTTCTTCAGGGTCGTTTCTCAAACCTTGCTCACAATCTCAAGTTGATTTCTAGTGATCCACCTTGATCTTGAGGGGGGGTGTTAGCTATAGTTGAGGTATCAGTTTTGTCATTTGCTATTAGTTGTAGTGGGTTTATAATCTGTGTTCTTTTCCCTTTTGTAAATGATCAACTTCTTCATCAATGTTGGTATAATTTAGAATCTGAGCAGTTGGTTGTTTTATTTGTTTTGCATGTTTTAGTTGTCTGAATCAAAGGCCATGTTGGCCAGTTATTTCCTAGTATTTAGCTTAGTTAAAATGTGGAAGTTTGTTTTCCCATTTTTCTTCAGTGGTGGTTTATTTAAGAAGTAAAACTCTGTTTTTAGTGCGTGCAGAAATTGAGAGAGAAAGACTTTGCCCCATCTCTTTTTCTCCATTAACTGTTACTGTGAGTGTTTTTTTTTTTTGTGATCTGATCCATTTTTTTTGCTAACATTTGGTATCAGAGCGTGATTCTTATGCAAGAACAACCCGAAACCCGAGTAGATGGCAGATAAAAGCGATAAGAACGAGAAGGAGAACCCGATCACCCTTCACTACCCTATGTTGACGCGAAGCAACTACCCCGCCTGGGCTATCAAAATGAGAGTCTTTATGCAAGCCCAGGGAGTATGGGAAGCCGTCGAACCCATGACTCAAAGTACAACAGTCGATGTGAAGAAGGATAAATTGGCACTTGCAGCCATTTATCAAGGGATTCTGGAGGACCTGCTGCTGTCATTAGTCGAGAAGCAAACAGCAAAAGATGCATGGGGTACCTTGAAGACCATGTTCATGGGAGCCGATAGAGTCAAGCCTGCGAAGGTCCAAACTTTGAAGGCGGAATTCGAAACACTCAACATGAAGGAAACGGAGGTAATAGACGATTTTGCTATAAAGGTGAACAACATAGTCAGTAATATTCGAGCCTTAGGTGAGAAAGTGGATGAGACTTATGTTGTGAAAAAGTTACTACATGCCGTCCCGAGCAAGTTCTTGCAAATTGCTTCAACCATAGAGCAGTTTGCAGATCTCGATAAGATGACTGTTGAAGAGGTCATAGGTCAATTAAAGGCACACGAAGAAAGAGTACGCGGGAAAGGCGAAAGTAGTGACAGGAAGTTGCTGTTAACATATCAGGACTGGGTCGAGAAGACTAAGAAAAAGGCTGACGATGAGCGAAAGAACTCCCATGGTAGTTCACGATCGAGTGACTCTAATTCACGAGGTCGTGGAAGAGGTCGTGGACGGGGTAGAAACCACTCCAGACGGTGTAGAAACCACTCCAATCGGGGTGGACGTCGTGGTGGTGGCTCTCAACAAAACCGAGACGGGGATCGTGGGTCATCAAGTAATCGCAACAAAAGTAAGATTCAATGCTATAATTGTCAAGACTTTGGCCATTTTGCATTTGAATGTAAAAACCCATGGAGAGAGAGGGATAGAAATCAAGAGGCAAACCTAACACAAAATGACGGCGAACCGGCACTTCTGTTAGCGGTCTCAAACAGCACCCATGAGGTAAGAGAAGAGGTTTATTTGAATGAGAAAAAGTTAACCCTAAAGTTAAGGTCCTCGAATGAAGAAGGCAACGTATCGAAGGTTTGGTATTTGGATAACGGTGCGAGTAATCATATGACGGGAGATAAAGGGAAGTTCAACGATCTCGATCAGTCCATCCGGGGTTATGTCCGTTTCGGTGATGACTCAAAGGTTCGAATAGAAGGAAAAGGGTCCATCATTTTTATGTGTAAAAATGGGAAGAAACGGGTATTACGTGACGTGTACCATATCCTGAGCCTATGCAATAACATCATAAGTTTGGGACAACTTGCAGAAGATGGAGATAAGGTGTTACTAGTTGGTTCGTATTTATGGGTTTATGATAAGGTTAGGAAGTTACTAATGAAGGTGAGGCGCTCCCTAAACCGGTTATACAAGATAATTCTAAATGACACTAATCCACTTTGTTTGCTTAATGGATGTGAGGAATCTTCAAGACTTTGGCACACACGCCTTGGTCACGTAAACTTTCAGAAGCTAAAAGGAATGTATGAAAAGAACTTGGTGTATGGGCTGCCAAAAGTTGAGCAGTCTACGAGGTCATGTAAGGGCTGTTTGGAGGGCAAGCAGACACGAAAACCGTACCCGTCACAGGCAAAATATAGGACTCAAGTAAGGCTGGAACTCATTCACGCTGACCTTTGTGGTCCGATCTCACCGGCTACACCATCCTGTAACCGTTATTTTATGCTATTGGTAGATGATTTTAGCCGTGTAATGTGGATTTATTTGCTAAAAACAAAGGATGAGGCATTTGGAGTTTTCCAGAAATTTCGTGTAATGGTTGAAAATGAAACAGGTAACAAGATTAAAACCGTGCGAACCGATCGAGGGGTGAATTCCTCTCGAAAGTCTTTACAGCTTATTGTGATGAAATGGGCATCA